AGAGGAGAATGGACTAACATCAAGACCATGAAAAATTGGTGTAGTTTTCTAAGCATTCCAAAAAAGGAAGGTGTTATGCATTAATATTTGCTAATTTAACATTATATTAACTTGTTTGGATTTTATAAATACATGTCTTATTATTCATGTGACTAATTTACTTTAAAATTACATGGTCGGGGTGGCTGGGTGGCTCAGTCATTAAGCGTCTGCCTTTGGCTCGGGTCGTGATCCCTGGGATCGAGCCTCGCATCTGGCTCCCTGCTCAGCGGGAAGCCTGCTTCTCCCTCTCCCACTCCCCCTGCTTGTGTTCCCTGTCTCTCTGTCAAATAAATAAATAAAATCTTAAAAAAAAAATAAAAATTACATGGTCACGTGTGTTTAAAATAGATTTTTGAAAGAAAATAAAAATATGAAATAATATTAATCAGAGCATAAAGCACATCTTTTAAAACCATAAAAGAAGGGGGGGTTTGGGGAAATGGATCAAACAGGTGATGGGAATTAAGGAGTGCAGTTGTCATGATAAGTACCAGGTGATGTACAGAATTGTTGAATCAATATATTGTACACCTGAAACTAATATAACACCATATGTTAATTGGAACTAAAATAAGAACTTAAAAAATAATTAAAGCCATAAAAGAAAATCTAAAAGTCCTTAATGAAGTAGAACACAATTCAGAAGAGAGACCTATTAAAAAATGTTAAGTACCTGTTATAATGACCTTGAAGCATCACTTAAAATATCAAGCTACTATTATATAATAAACTGATATTAATATAAAGCTTGAACAACCATAAAGCCTTATTACTAAAACTGGTCACTGGAGCAGCAGGATCAGCATCACTTGGGAGCTTCTTAGAAATGCAGGATCTCAAAGCCCATCCTTGAACTGTTGAATCAACTGTTATTTGGCCAATAAGGTCACTAGGTGATTGATATGCATATTAGAGTGTAAGAATCACTGTCCTATAGCATAATTTTAATTATAACTTCATAAATTACACAGCATTACTTTTTATTTCTTTGCATTAGAAGTTACTGAGATACCTGAACAAAGTTCTAGAAAATTCAATTTGCCATCTGAAAAATCTATTTCTATTTAAACATTTGCATATGAATACACCTAATATATATCTCACTTATTTAGGTAGACACTTGATGAATATTAATAGCATAAAAATGAATTAATTTTTCCTAATCTTAAAGTGGCAGGGTAATAAAAATTATATATTTGAGAATCAAAGAAAATAGTTCACAGTAATTTCTTCAAATTTTTTAAAAGATAATTTTAAAGAATCTTCTTTTTACAAATTATGATAACTTTTAAATGACTCAATCAGCAACTTCCCATCCTAAACTACTGACGTCAGAATTCTCATAACTTCTAAAAACTCTGATTTTCCAGTAAGACCCTACTTGCTAAAACATCTGGAGCCTTGCATAAAACACAAACACACACTGTGGAAATTTCAAGCTATTTAAACACCATGAACATAGGGATTTTTGTCATGTTTTAAAATGCAGAAATAGAAGAGATTATGCCTTAAGGAACAGAAGATATCTAGGCATTTCCAAATTAATTCAATATACAGTAACATATCAAAGGGAACCCAGTCTCTCAGAGGACTCTGGATGCTGAGATAGGTTCCTGAGAAACTTAGAACCATTCCATGTGCAATGTCAAAATTTACTAAAGCAAATAAAGACAATTCAAAATTCTATGATAAACCTAGAGTACTTTTCAAACAACTTATGCCTAATATTTACTTACTTAAGTACGTCTTTAAATCTGAGGCTTTAGGGTGAGTAACTATAAAACAGGGGCAATATAATCTTTAATATTATTTACCTGAATAACCTTCCACTTTTAGGATGGGCAACAATTATGAATAAATGACAGTCATTTTAATAAAATATGTGGAATTTTTAAAAACTAGAATTACTTGAAAATGGAAAATTATTTTTTAATCAAATTGCTTAAGGTTAACTCAATCATATACCTAACACTAAAACCTACAATACAAATAATCAAAATTTGACCTATCCTACCTTTTATTTTATGTAAAGGTTTATCTGACACTTACATATATATAAAGAGTTTAACTTATATAAAGGTGATTTATTTTGTGAAGATATCTTAGGAAATTGTGTTTTAAAGAAAACATTATCTACTGAAAATAACATGATGTAAAGAGAATCTGGACTCTTAAACAACTTACGTGGAATATCCTCTTCAAGTCTATTTTTCCATAGTAGAGAATATAGACACAAGCTACCAAATACCTAGAAAAGATGGATGCTGTGATGTTGAGAGAAGAGGTAGAGAGGGAGAAAAAAAATCTCAGACTTTAATTTTTTCATTCAACTTTATCCACAGTTTGCATCGGTAATATACATTTAGTGTTCCATTTATTTTTAAATGCATCAGAAAATCAATTATGATAGATCTGTGACCAATACAAAGATTTCTGAATTCTTCAAAAAATTCACTTAGAAAAGTCAATAAACTAGCATTCTGTAGAGATAATTATTAAACAAATGGTAATGCATTTTTACTCCTTATCTCAATTCTAACATATCCAACATCACTTCTTTCTTGTGCCATACAGTAATAAAATTTAGCAGAAGTAGCTACCTACTACATTTTTAGGGCCTAATAAAATATTTCAGTTTGATTATTTAACCCTCTTCAAATCACAAATCCAATTCAAAAAATTATAATCATTCTTAATTCAATAACTGATGAAGTAAATATAAAATAACCGTAAGAACCATTTAGAATAAAATTTACACTTATTTAAAAACTAATAAAAGAATTACATCAGAGCCTTGGTAAAATGTGTCCTTGGGAACTATGTGAGAAACTGACTTAGAGGTGGTGTTGCTTTCTGGCAGTATAGTAAATAAACTGACATGATATAGACCTCAGATGGACCCATCTTAAATGGAATTTTGCTTTGCAGTAAAGAATGTTACTATAACGTTCTGGTATATTTTCCCTTTAAGGTAATAACTGACAAGTAAGTGAAATGCAATAAGGAAATAGCCTATAATTTCACTAATATTTCAATGATATGAAACAGGAAAATACTTGTAAAATAACATCTAGGTTGATTAATAACAGGACTCCTACAGCATGATAAATATAAAAGCAGTATGAATGATTGCTGTAGCTTTTACTGGTCACTTGTAACATTGTCAAATTTCTACAATAAAAACTAACAACTTAAGATATTTATTTGCCATTTCTTACCTTTATTACCCAAGTTTTCACTAGGGAGACTGATTATGCCAATGAAGTTTTTTTTTTAGATCCAACTGAAAAATAGTAACTAATTAGCTCAAATATTTAAAGTAATAAGTTACTAATAATTTAATTTTTAAACCTTATAGTCATAAGAAGCTTTAATTCTTTAAAAGCTCCAATTTCACACTAGGGGAATGTAAAGAACACATCTGTATTCTAATGCCAAAATTTAATTATATGGCTTCATGCCAACTGATCAAAAAAAGTTGAGTTGTTCCTAAACCAACCCTTATATACCATTTGGCACACTAGTTTTTACCTTTTATATATACCCTTAGAAATACCCAGGTCAACACTTTTAATAAGTTGCATCCATATTAAGAGGTAACAAGTGCAAATAATCACATATTTAAGATATGGTACTTGCTTGGCTACTACAAAAGTAATTATACTAAGGTTCTTCTATACCAAACTGAGTATTCATTACAGTAATGTTTTTGAAAAATTCCTGCACTACTACCAACATAAATTTATCTATCTCCAAATTAAACAAGGACTTTGTAACATAGTATACTTATGAAAATATATATAGAATGGTCTGTGTTTAATTCGACATCTTGTTAATTGAGGATCATAAGACTTACAGGATCCACAGATGGCCAGATTTCAAATAAAAACCTATTCTTCAACTGCTGCTCTCTGAATCTGAATAAAACTAATGGCAGCATACTGACATAATGCTACTGAAAGTCAAGACATAAACCCAAACTTTGGCAGTTTTATCAAAATGTCCTTGGTAATTAGTACTTTGCTACTTCTCAAAAACCTTACTGCTTTGTGTAATGTTTTCAATACAGAAATAAAATATTCTTCAAATAATACATTTTAAAAGATGATTAAGTTTTGCAAAATTAAATAGCATAAATTAAGCATATTAACATTGGGTTTTTTTTTTTGACAACATGACATAACCAATTTTAGGAAAACTGCAATGTACTAAATAAAAAACCACAGATGTCACAATGTGAGGCACATTTAAATCCTCACATATTACTGACCTTACAAAATCTACTAAAATATTTTAAAGTTCCATTGATTCCATTAATACATAAAAAGAAATTGCAAAAATGCTTAAGACTATATAAGAGTCATCAATTACACAGGCACTTCACATGTAAACAATCTACAGTACAACTGAAAATATTTTGGCACCAACCTATAATACTAAAAGAATTTAATATAAAGCCAGAGTTCTGCATTTTCTACTCATTTTTTTCTAGAAAACTAAGACCAAAGATTGAAGAAACTGTGTATAAACTAGAATTAGAAGTGTATTAAATAACTCAAATATAGAATAGTTTTAAATCGGTAAAAAAATGATTACCTCATCCAGGTGTTTACTAGTATGCTATGATATAAAAAATTAAACCTAATGTGATTATTAAATTGAAACCACATTTTAAATTTAGTATCAATCTGGTTTTTGAAAAATAATCAAGGTTATCAACTGACTTAGTAAAAAGAGAATTTGAATTTATCAAAAACTCTCATTAAGTTAATCCAGTTTTCCCCCAAAAGAAGTTTGGGCAATTCAAATTTAATTTTGATGTTTTAACATGATTTTTTTAAACCTAAGGCTTGACCTAATAAAATTATCTTTGATTAGACATTCTTATCATGAATTTGAGATATCTGAAATCACTTCAAATAAATGCAACTATACACTTATAATTTTGAAATGTTACATCAAGCTGTAGAAAGCTGAGATGCCTTGGTTGTAGGTAATTCAAGAAGAGCCTGAACTGTGACACCGACTTTCACAAGACCTCTCTCTTCCAAAATATGATGAGGCAAACAGAGTCTTTCCTGAAAAACAAAATAAATGATATCAGAACATTTGTCTTTTATAGTGCAGTAAAGCCTAAACAAGTCAGAACTGGATTTTTAAAACATTTCCTGTAAAACGTCAAGTAAAAAGTATATCATACTAATTAAATTCTAATTTTTTAATTCTCTTATTGAGGTGTAATTCACATATAACATTATATTGGTTTCAGGTGTAAAACATAATGATTTGAAATATGTATACAGTATAATACAAAATAATCACCACAATAAGTCTAGTACCATCCATCCATCACCATACAAAGTTAACTTTTAGGATTTACTCTCTTGGCAACTCTAAGTATATTCTATAATATTAATGACTATAGTCACTATGTGGTACATTACCCCCATGACTTATTTATTTTATAACTGAAAGTTTGTACCTCTTGAGCCCCCATCACCTGATTTCACCTACTCTCCTCTGGCAAACACTATTTTATTCTCTGTATCTATAAAGTACATTTTGTTTGTTCATTTGGTTTTTTTAGATTCCACATGTAAGTGAAAACATACAGGATTTGTTTTTCTCTGTCTTACATAATTTGCTTATCATAATATCTAATATCCTCAAGGTCCATCCATGTCACAAATGGCAAGATTTCATTCTTTTTATGGCTGAGTAGTATTCCATTGTATATATATATACCACATCTGTATCTATTCATCAGTTGAAGGACACTTAGGTTGCTTCAATATCCTGGCTATTGTAAATAATGCCACAATGACCACAGGGATGCATATATCTTTTGAATTGGTATTTTTGTTTTCTTTGGATAAACACTCAGAAGTAGAATTGCTGGATCTTATCGTATTTCTAATTTTTTGAGGACCCTGCATATGGTTTTCCATAATGGTTATACCACAATTTACATTCCCACCAACAGGATATGAAGGTTCCCTTTTCTCAACATCCTCACCAACATTTTGTCTTTTTGGTGATAGCCATTCTAACAGATGTGAGATGATATCTCATTGTGTAAATTCTACTTCTAAAATGGCTGTTTCAATAGATTTTAATGGTATGGGATTCTATTTTACGGCTGTGTTTTGATCTGAGACTGGTCTGACCCACATAAGCAAATATTTTAAAGTGAGACAGTCATGCTAGATGTTCCCTAAGCTCTTCTGCTGGAGTAGAAAGAGCACTACATTTCCAGCCAGGACATCTAAGGGCCATGAGATATTAAGTACTAAAGATAATAAAATTCCCTGAGACTCACTTTATTTATCCTGAAGACAGGACTGTATGAGAAATAAAGTGAATAGTCTGGTGGTAGAAGTGGTTTGTAAACTCTTCAGTCCTGTACAAAATTGGCTGCTCTGGTTCATTCATTCTACTAGTTCTGAAGAGATTCAGTACTTTTTTTATCTTAAGGTTACTTCCCTCCAGCTGCTAGTGGTTTTGTTGCTTCTTAGTTCCAGAATTTGGTAAGTAACAACTACCTACTCTTATAAGCACATCACATGTCATTTGATCTTCACAATTCTGTAAGAAAGAAGGTTTAGAAGCAACTTTGCATTAGGTTTTCATTAGCCTTCACTGATTCTACTCTAACATTCTTTCTTTTTTTTTTCTTTTTTGTAAGTAATCACTACTCCCAACGTGGGGCTCAAACTCACAGCCCCAAGATTAAGTGCCACATGCTCTACCGAAGGAGCCAGCCAGGCGCCCCTCTTCTAACATTCTTAATGTTTTCAAGGGTTCTGTCTTCACCTCTTCTCTTTTAGACTATATCCTCTCTTTGGTATTCTCAAAACTTTATCAAAACTTCAAGGGTTAACTGAAGGGTTGCATGCATGTGCATATCATCAAATAAACTTGGTAGCTATTTCTGAAGAAACAATGCAGTCCACTGCTTCAGTTGGGACACCCATTCATCTCAGGAAAATAAGCCAGTAATGGATAGAGTGAATAGCAAACAGACCATCTACAGGACCCATCTGGTTTATAACTGTATTATACTTGGTTAGCACAGTATTTTACAAATCTAGAAACATAACATTTTTTTAAGATTTTCTTTATTTATTTGAGAGAGAGAGAAAGAATCCCAAGCAGACTCCCTGCTGAGTGGGAAGCCCCATGCAGGAATCGATTTCAGAACTGAAATCATGACCTGAGCTGAATCAAGAGTTGGATGTTTAACTGACTGAGCCACCCAGGAGTCCCAAAACATTATATATATATTTTTAATCCACTGTTTTTTTTAAAGATTTTATTTATTTATTTGAGAGAGAGAGCAAGCAAGCACTAGCAGGGGGAGCAACAGGCAGAGGGAGAAGGAGAAGCAGGCTGCCCACTGAGCTGGGAGCCCAGTGCAGGACTCCCTGGGATCATGACCTGAGCCAAAGGCAGACGCTTAACCGACTGAGCCACCCAGGAGCCCCTAAATCCACTGTTTCTTGAAACATGGGAAGCCTTGGCAAGACTGGGCTCCTATTCCCAAATAGTAACAACTATATCTTCTATCCTGATTACTTTCAAATCTTTATTTCCTGCCATGATCTCTCTACTGAGCTCTGGATACAAATATGAACTCGATATAGGCAAATGGATGTTCAACAAACATCAAAATCAATGTGTCCATAGCAGAATTATTCCATCACTAAATTAACTTGTCCTTTTACATTCTATACCTCAGTGAGTAATACACTGTTCAGTCTCTCTCAACATACACCTGGAAATCATAATAATCTTTTCTTTTTTTTCCATAATAATCTTTTCTTTCTTCCTTATTCCCATAAACCATTCACCAAATACTACTGGTAATATCCCATTTATCAGAAACATTCTCAAAAGCTATCTTCTTATCTCCATTTTCACAACATCTGTTGCCCTCCTAATGTTTTGCTTATTTATTCAAATAACCACTGAAATGTTAGAAAAGAAAGTGTTTCAAATCAATGACCTCAGCTTCCACCTTAGAGGATAGAAAAAGAACAAATTAAACCAATGGCAAGCAGAAAGAAAGAACATATGAAGTTGAGAGAGGAAAACAATAAAATAAAACCCAGAAAAAAATAGAAAAAATATCAGTGAAACAAAACATTAGCTCATTGAGAAAATTTCTAAAAATTCATAAACCTCTAACTAGGTTAATCAGAAGAAAAAAGAGAAAATACACAATTTATCAATATCAGGAATAAAAGAAGTAACATCACAAGAGATTCTACAAATACTAAGTTGATAATAAGGGGACATTATAAACAACTTTGTAAGAAGAAGATGGGGCGCCTGGGTGGCTCAGTCGGTTAAGCATCTGCCTTCGGCTCAGGTTATGATCCCGGGGTCCTGGGATCAAGCCCCACATCAGGCTCCCTGCTCAGCGGGGAGCCTGCTTCTCCCTCTCCCACTCCCCCTGCCTGTGTTCCTTCTCCGCTGTGTCTCTCTCTGTCAAATAAATAAATGAAATTAAAAAAAGAAAAATAGACAAAATCTTTGAAAGATAGTATACCAAAACTCGTGCAAGAAGAAAGAGAAAACCAGAACAGCCCTGTATCTATTAAAGAAATTAAAATTGTAGTTAAAAACCTTCCAAAAACGAAAACCCTTGGCCCAGATGGATTCCCTAAAGAATTTGACTAAATATTTTTAAAGGAAATAATATCAATTCTACACAAAATCTTCAGGAAAAGTGAAGAGCAGGGAATACTTCCTAAGCTATTCCATGAGGTCAACATTACCCTGACACTAAAAGTCAGGCAAAGATATTAATAATATATAATATATATTATTATATATATTAATATATGTAATATATAATAAAGGAAAACTAAAGACCATTATCCCCATGAACACAGATGTAAAAAGTCTAAACAAAATTTTAGCAAACTGAATTCAACAATATAAAAACAACAAAATCTATAATGACCAAGGTTTATCCCAAGAATCCAGGTTTGACTTAATATCTGAAAATCAACCAAGGTAAGTCACAATATTGTGAAAGAAAAAGGATGTGGGCGCCTGGGTGGCTCAGTTGGTTAAGCGACTGCCTTCGGCTCAGGTCATGATCCTGGAGTCCCGGGATCGAGTCCCACATCGGGCTCCCTGCTCAGCAGGGAGTCTGCTTCTCCCTCTGACCCTCTTCCCTCTCGTGCTCTCTATCTCTCATTCTCTCTCTCTCAAATAAATAAATAAAATCTTTAAAAAAAAAAGAAAAAGGATGTTATCATCTCATTAGCTGTAGAAAAAGCAACTGACAATATTCAACATCCACTGCTGATAAGAACTCTGAGCAACTGGAAACTGAAAGGAATTTTCTCAACCTGATACAGTTCATCTCTAAAAAAACCAACAGCTAACATTTGTAAATCATATATCTCATAAAGTATTTATATCTGAGGAGTGCCTGGGTGGCTCAGTTGTTAAGAGTCTGCCTTCAGCTCAGGTCATGATCCCAGGGTCCTGGGATCGAGTTCTGCCTCGGGCTCCCTGCTCCACGGGAGGCCTGCTTCTCCCTCTCCCACTCCCCCTGCTTGTGTTCCCTCTCTCACTGTCTCTCTCTCTGTCAAATACATTTTAAAAATCTTAAAAAAAAAAATAAAGTACTTATATCTGGATTATATTAAAAACACCTAAAACTCAAGAAAAAACTGAATAATCCAATTAACAAATGGGCCAAGGATTTGAAAAGACAATTCTCCAGAGAATATATACAAATAGTCAATAAGCACATGAAAATATGTTCAACATCATTAGCCATTAGGGAAATGCTAATTAAAACCACAATGAGATACCTATCACTTCACACCACAAGGATGGGTAGAATCAAAAAGATAATTATTATTAATTATTGTTGATGAGAATTTGGACAAATTAGAATCCTCAAACACTGGTAGAAATGTAAATTGAAAAATAATCAAAGATAAACTCAAAGATAAACAAAGAGTAACCATATAACCTAGCAATTCCACTCCTAGTTATAAAACAAAGAAAGCTGAAACAAGTGTTCAAAAAAAAAAAATTTGTTCATGAGTGTTCA